ACATGTCATTGATATATCTCTGGATACAAGAAAAAATCCATCTAATCATAATAAACCTAAAATCATATTATATAGGCAGTGATTTATGTAATCAATTGGCTCCTGTAAAATTATGGGAGCCCTTACAAATACAGTGGATGGCTGGGAGCTTCCTATTACCTACGACCTATGCCGTCAAGGGAGTACTAAATAGAGTGTAAGGAGATCACTCTAGTGGTGGAATAAGGTCACTACATCTGGTATAACTTCAAGTTCTCTCTGTTTCCACTCGTATAATGCATCCCGGACTGCTGCGCTTTTCTCCGGGTTAAGCTCCCATAAATGGAAATGTTGGAGTCAAAAGAAGGTCCAAACCGAAAACCTTCAAGTGTGAAGATATCTCTTGTATCAGAAATGTGAGAATTAGACACCGTCAGATGCAGAGGTCGAACCTTGACGTAGCTTGTTCCCCTCCTCATCAATCTTTATTCTCCATCGTACAGCTCGACCTTACATTTCCACCCTCTTTACGAGATATTACACAGAAATTTTGATTTTCGGTATCCATTCTCGCATTGGCCTAAAGCTTGGCACCCACCTCACCACTCTCCATCGTCAACATGGGCCCGGCAGACTCCGCCTGGAAGAAGGGGTCTCTTGACCATAAATACTCCCAAAACTTGAGACCATAGCATCTCCTTTCCTCTCCTCGATCACACCTCTGGGTTCCCTGATCCTGTAAAGGTTCATCATGAACTCAACTCAAACAGTCCTCGTGGATCTAGAAAATAATAATACCAATCACTCTGACCCCATCGAGGTAGAAAATCATAGGTTTAGTACGCTCAAAGCTGAGACGGAAAGCGAAACATCGGTCATAACGACCTATACACCGCCCGACGGTGGTATGAAGGCGTGGCGTCTAGTTGCAGGCGGGTATGTACAGGACGTTGTACACTCTCACCAGTTCTCTTACTTCTATATAGGTGTTGTCTAGCGTTTGCTGCATTTGGGTAAGCCTTCCAGCAAACATTGTTACTGTCGGAAAGAAATAACGATACCTGGAAAGGCCATGTGACGCCTTTGGCGTATATCAAGATTATTATGCCCGAGTATACCTCACCAAATATACTCCATCTCAAATCGGATGGATTGGATCCACTCAGCTCTGCTTGATATTCTTCTTGTCTTTACCAGCAGGACTATTGTTCGATGCTGGTTACTTCTATTGGATGATGAGGCTTGCTTCTGTATGTTATTGTGCAGCGTGCGTGTCATCTATAACTTTGGACCACCCAGAGCCTTGGGGCTAACTTATGGGATAGATTTTTCGGGCTTTCGTTCGCAAACCCTCAAGCCTTCGGGGCAATCTTCGTAACTCATGGAATTATAGTTGGCGCTTCGATAGCGTTTCTGTTTTTGCCCCCTATCGCCTTTCTCAGTCACCACTTCAAAGAACATCTTCCATTAGCATTGGGTATCGTCACAGCGGCAACTGCCTGTGGCTCAACCTTATTCCCTTGGTTACTCAAGTGAGTCGTCACTAATCCAGATTTGGTTTATCCTCAGTGTCACTGACATTTACCGCCTATGTATTCCTCTGCGCGGCTAGTTACTTAATTCAAGCGAAAGGGTTTGCAATTGCCACACGGATTGTTACTGGGATCTGCTTTGGCATGTTAGCATTAGCCAACTTCCTGATGCGCACCCAAGAATGCTACTTAAAACAAGATATACAACAAGTGAGGAAGAAAATGATAAATATAAGGTCATTCTTCAAAGAGCCTGAATACGTCTTATTTCTCTTCTCGTATGTGCACCCTTTATCCGAGACCGGCGAGACGATCCACTAAAAAGATTTCTGGTTTGGGTATTAGGGCATTCTTTTGCGGCCTGGGTCTGTATTTTGTAGGTAAGGCTCTGTCGACTTCTGGTGAAGCACGTGCGAAGAAGATATTCACTTCATTATCTACAGGAGTCTACATACAGTTATTTGCAGTTCGGCACAACATAGCGCCGGGCCTAGTCCTCTATATAGTGACAATGGTTCAAGGATCATCCTTTGTATGTCATCCTCTCGTCTTACTTATAATTTCAAGGGTTTCTCTGATGGAACTCTAGTTTGGACGACTCTCCTTTACATTCATGGGAAAAATTTGCGGCACCTTCAATATAAATTCTGTTTCTACGATTCTCCTGTCCATTTTCATCTTCATCTTAGTGGGAATAAATGACTCGAAAGGCATTATCGCAATTGCTATCTTATTCGGATTGGTTTATGGCATATGTCAGTAGTATTTCTATTCGCATTTCTTTCTAACAACAATTGCGTATATCAGTCGTGCCGTCTTCCCTCAACTCTTTAATGGCTTTTGCGAAATCAGGAGACGAAGTCGGGTATTTATGATTTGAGGCTGTGTGGTAGTTCCTTGGTCCTAACACCTCGATTTAGAACGCGTATGGGCATC